GAGGGCAATGAATGTACAAATGTGCTTTACACAATTGATGTATGTATGGATTGTGATAAGAGTCGTATGAACCCCTAATAAAACGATTAAAAAAAAACCTATGGGGCACAGTTTTATCGGACAAACCTGAGGTCACCATGAGTTGAAGTTAGCTTAATAGCAACTGGATTAGTGCCGCCAGAAGGCCATGCCATCATCCTCTCTCAACAAGGCATTAGCCTTCATTGTTTCTATTCTTCTTCTTTTTTAAAAAAAAATCTTTTTATTGGGGACTCTTACAGCTCTTATAATATTCCATACATCAATTGCATCAAGCACGTTTGTACATATGTTGCCATCATCACTTCCAAAACATTTTCTACTTGAGCCCTTGGTATAAACTCCTCTTTTTTTCTACTTGAGCTCTTGGTATAAACTCCTCTTTTTTTCTCTTCCCTTCCCACCTCGTGAATCCTTGATCAATTGAATATTGTTATTATTTCGTATCTTACACTGTCCGTTGTCTCCCTTCACCTACATTTCTGTTATTCACCCCCTTTTGGGGGAGAGCTATATATTCAACCGTGTGATGGGTTCCCCCATTCTCTCCATTCTCCCTCCCCAACCATCCCCTTACCCTCATGATATCGCTACTCCCACTACTGTTCCTGAGGCTGAGGGGTTTATCTGCCCTGAATTCCACGTGTCTAGAGCGCTTATCTGTTCCAATGTGTGCGCTCCGGTTAGCCAGATTTGTAAGGTAGAACTGGGTCATGGTAATGGGGGGAGGAAGCATTCAGGAACTAGAGGAATGATGTGTGATTAGTCGGTGCTATACTCCACTTGGGTTGAATCATCCCTTCCTTATAATCCTGTGGGAAACTATCCAATTGTCTACAGATGGGCTTTGGGTCTCCACTCCATACCCCTCATTCACATCGATATAGTTGTTTGTTTTGGTTCCTTTGATGCCTAATCCTATCGGCACCTCATGCTCACAACAGGCTGGTGTGCTTCTTCCATGTGGGCTTATTTGCTTCCCTGCTAGATGGCTGCTTGGTTAACTTCAACTTTGTTTCTATTCTTAATACATTCCCCATACAATGGCCAAAGTAAAAATTTTAAAATGTAACTAAGATCTTATAAGGTGCCCAATGGTTTCTTAATACAATTGAATAAAAACAAGTCTATACCCTTCCACACAAGGTTGCTCCCTGCTTCCCCAGTGCCTCATATACTATTGTTGCTCTCACTGACTCCATTCCAGCCAAATAGTTTCCCTTCTTGTTCACTCAACACTCCAAGTTCACTTTTGCCTTTGATCTCTACTACTGGTCCCTCTACTGGGAATGTGCTTCCCCTTTATGGGTAAAATAGTGGATTCCTTTTGTCATTCAGAACGGCTGAAATGTCACCTCATGAAGAGCTTCCCTGATTAAATAAACTAAAGTAGTTCCCTAGGCATTCTCTATTAGATTTTCATGTGTTAAAGATAAATCAGTTCCTATTCTTATCCAATATTCGCTTGATTTTTGTTTTTTTATTGGTTGCTTTGATGTTCCACAGAATATAAGTGTCAAATCGCCAGAACTCATTCTGTTTGTACACCTAAAAAATGCCCTAATACACAGAATGAGCTGAATAAATTTGTTGAAAAAGGAAATCAATCCAAGATTCCTATTTGAACTGTAATTTAATATTTGTATATTATAAAATTTCCTTAAAACTAAGCATTAAACACCCAAAGCAAATGGTCAAAAGACATAGGTTTAAATAACCCAGGACGCAGTCCATGGCCATATGACAGTTCAAAGTTAAGTATGGCCAACAGTCAAAGAAAAGAGACTAGGCGGAAAAATAGTGGAAAATTTGAACACAATGAGGGTATGTATGGCCTTAAAATACATTATACAAAATTACTATAGTGTCCAAGTAAAATGAGTTGAAATATCAGCTTTTAAGGAAGGTGAGAAAATGGCAGGAGCGAAACCGAAGTATGATCTAGAGGAGGAAGAAGAGGAAGTTAGAGCCGTAAAGAGCAAGGGTGTGCTAGGATTGAAATTTTACCACAGATAATCTCCAGCATGAATAATCCACACTGGGTAATAGAATATTGACTATAATTACATTCATCCCACTGACCTTGTTCTAAATTATTATGGATTATTACTACGCAAGTTATTTTGTTCCACACCAGAGGTGGCTGTATTTTGCTATCAGATGACATGACCTCTAATTCAATAATGTCTGTAATGCACTAGTATCCTCAGATAAAAGCTGTCTATAATGTCTGAACAAAGGTGAATTAGTTATCCAATTCACACACGCAATTAACTCTCTTAATACCTGAGAGACCATGGAGCCCTTCTGAATTAAACACTGCATATGGAGGTCTTCCCTCCATCTGTAGTCATCTTGTGCTGTACTTCATAATAAACAATATGAATAGTTTATTGCCCCCATCAAAAATCTTGCATTAGTTATCATAAGAGACCTCATTTCAAATAGCAATGACTCCTTTCCCTGGGAAAATGCATTAAATTCAAATGTTATGCCTATTACTAAGGCGCAATATTTTTTTAGCCTCCATAATGTAAAATAATGATAAAAATACCTTCCTGAGGCATGAAAAATAACTTTTTTTCATTATTTTAAGGGCACCTCCTAAAATCTAAAAGTCAGTGTTTATTAAGTGAATTTGTATTTCTATGCAGTACTCATTGTAAACAAAAGATTATTTACTTAAAGGACAAAAACCAATCAAAACACTCTCCTTTTGGGGGCCACCTGTTCCCTCTGCGAAGAGCTAACTTTCGTCAGTAGTGTGCAGGCAGAGAGCACTGTGCTTCTGCTTTGTCACCATATGTGACGCTGCAGGCTGTACTCGTCCAAGCCCAGGTCAGAATTACAAGGTAATCGCAAATGTTAAGCAAACAACCTGACCTTCTAAAAAAGAAGATAATTAATTAATTCTTCAGGGGATGCTTTTTATTTCAGCTATCATTTTAGCAGAGACCAAGAAAGCGAAATAAAAACCCTAAAATACATCCTGGCTCTCTTGGCACATTAAAGTCCTCGAGATATTATGTCAATTCTGAGAGAAAGGCAGCGTTTAAATATATCGAAGAAATGTTATTATAGTTCAAATGGGATCTGCAGCTCCTCTGGGTTTTCATTTGCCCTCACAACTCAAAGCAGGGAGGCGGAGCAGAGGAATAAGACAACGGTTTCTTACATGTGCTTCATACATCTCATCTGCTCAGGAAATGACGGTGTAAGAAGCACGTTCTGACTTACACTCAAGGGCTAAGTAGGTGGCATTCTTCACTCCATCCACTATGTAAGCTTCAAACCCACCTTCTGCATGCTGCAGCACAAGAAACACCGACTCCTCCGAGATGATGTACTTGTGCAGACACACCATGTGCGGCACACAGCGGGGGACGATGGTCTTTCTGCTCCCGCTGCACTCGCTGCTTTTCCTGAGACCCTGACAGACAACAAAAAGGTCAGCTGTACCCTCAGTTGCCTTTGGAGCCTGCTGTGCTCTCTGTTGATCAACCAAACTAATCTATCCGAGTTACTCTGGGCTTCAGAGAAACCACTCATCTGCTGCTCTATGCCCCGGGTCCCTGGAGGCTCTGCTGATGGCATCTGGCGTGAATCCAGAGAACAGAAGATGCCGCAAAGCTGCCATTAAAATCAATTACGTGGGTCAGTGTTTTTATTAGAGATGCTCTCAAACGAAGTCATCAGGATGACACACAGTTATTTCTCTGTGACCTTTTCTTAAGTTTTATGTTCTTTGCGTATATCTTTAAAGCAAAAGACATTGTGAGATCAATTCAAATTCCCGAGACACAAAAGATATGCCTACCTTAAACAGGTAATTTAAATTTTCAAAAAAGCATGAAGATTATTAAGTGTTCTCTAAAGGCACGTTTTCTGGCAACAAACCCTAGTTTTAAAAACGGTGGAAATGTCAGTGAGAAGGTCTATTATATAACAGAAGCTGGGTTTCAGTCAGAGTCGTTGTGACCTATGACCATTTTGAGAAGTCAGAGAAAAGGTATTAGAAAAAGAAATATAAAATTAATCCATCTACCTATGGATGCTGTGAAAATACGTAAATTAGGATATTTTTAGACTTTGTAGTGTCATAATCCATTTCCAATATAATTTTGAAATAAGAAAATGGAGACTTGGTTCTCTCCTACTCATTTAGTTCTGTTATAAACTGAATCAAAATTTAATTTACATCAAAAGAGGGCCAAGAATGTAGATAATACTTTGTCAAATGCCTGCAACAAAGACTTCACAAAGCAAAATTTCACTCTAAAAACTGCAGTCTTAATCAAAGGGGAAATTGTGCGCAGTTTTCATAAATTATTTAAATGTATTTCAGAAATATTTAACTGCACTCAGACAGCATCCAATGTTTTCCAAGTTACCCAAATTATTACTTCATCTTCTATAAATGTGTGTGGTGGGAGAACATACAAAATATAAATACAGATCACCACATATATGAGAGAATATGCAAACCACCCAAAAAATAATATATCTTAGCCCACATTGAATAAGAACACCAGACTACATGATCCAGGACTGTAAATAATGTAATCCAAATTCAAAGGAGGGAATGGTATCAGAGCTTAAACTGTGAAATTCTGGTTTGCTGAAGGGCCTGGATGACAGTGGTATCCCAAAATACATTTGCAGGATCTAGCCTCTGATGGTTTCCCTCTGAGTAGAATTGAGGATGGGAATAGCCTGGTTATCGAACAGAGTATAGTAGAGATTATTGCAGTAGACTAAAATTAAACATCAGATTTCAATGGTTAAAACTCTATCATCTGATCTCCCTTTTGTCATATTTTGAGTTTTTAATGTTTTCTGTTTTCTTTTACACTGGGGTTTCTCTCTGTTGTGTTTTGTTATTGTTAGTAGCTGTCTTGACTCTCTGTTATATATTTTTCTATGTTTTTTTTTGGTATGCGAGGCCCAGGGTGGGTGAATCTATAAAGATAATAGCTATATTAAGGCTTCCAAGAAATATAAGGAGGAAAAAAAAGCTTTAAAACTGATCGTGGATAAAAAACAAACAACTGATTGTAGTAGTGATTGTACAACACTTCTTGATATGACTGAACGAATGACTCGTATGGTGTCTGGATTACAGCCTGATACAATGCTTTTTAAAAAATAATACATCTTCTTTCAAAAGCACAGTTTGAAAATAAGTATTTAAATTTGATAAACCTACAAATTATACTTACTTTTTTTATATACTTACTTTTAAAATGAATGTCTGTTCTGTCCGTGTGTCCATTACAAGTAAAACCTATGTAAAACATGTAAATAATAATTTACCAACAATATAATGACACATGGCACATTCACTTTTGAAACTAAACTTTAAGGGCTTGGGAGATATTGGAAGTGACTTGCCAAAATTGTTGTTTCAGACGAAATTTTTTTCCAACTACCAAGTCGCACAAGTATATTCAAAATAGGTTTTATTTTAAAAAATAGGTTTTATTATTGTTCCCTCTTTCTAATGCTAAATTTTTGAGATATTACTATGTTTTGTAAATTAAAGTCTATTTCTTAATAGTAAAGAAAAATTCATTTAAAAAAAAAAAGAATTTTTCACCATGGAATAGAGAGAGAGAGACAGACAGACAGGGGCGCATGGGAACATAAGTAGTAAAGGAGAAAAATTTCATAAGAATTACTGAAGTCCCGGTTTGCTTCCCAAAACCCGTATGTGGTAGTTTATGTGCTCTCCATCACTCAGGCTCTAGACTAAGGAATCAGTCGTTTAGCACCACTCCTCAGACCGACCCTTGGCGCTTTTCCTGCTATCAGCAAATCCTGTGAGCCCAACATTTCAAATAGATCCGAGCCAGAGGAACCCCCTTAGTCTGGAAGGTAGATTCTACTCTGCTCCGAGAAAACACTGTTTCTTACCTGGATTACAACAATGGCCTCCCAACTGACATATTTTGTCCATTCTCAACATAGTAGGAAAGATGTTTCCCTTCAAAATATACATTAGATCTTATCAAGTTCCCATCTCATTCTGAGAAAAAGACTAAAATTCATAAAATGGCCTCAAGGCCCTTCATGATAGCACATATTGAGCTACCCCTCCCCTCCTGCATCTCGACGAGTATAAGGAGCGAATAGAGATAGGGAATTATCCTGCCATATTAACTTATTATAATTTTGGAGACACTGTATCAGAGGGTAGACGGCCTTTTCTGTAAAAGGTCAGATAGTACTTATTAACCTTGCAAGCCCATAAAAGCTATGTTGCAGCCATTCTACTGTCAGGCTGTCACAGCCTGAAACTGACCGGGGTGGGAATATTTACACCACAAAAATTAGCACACGCTGCACACTGGAGTTTTGTTTTCATTCCAGCGAGTGGCTGTTCAACATTTGCCAGCTGACCACTAGGTAAAGAGAAGCACGAGTTAAGGCTTGAGGAAAAGATGAAACGGTTAGTGTGAAACCGTTTATGTGTCAACTTGGCTAAGTCATAATTCTCAGTGGTTTGGCAGATATTATGTAACCATTAGGTGATCTGATACGAACATCAAAGAGGATGCATGGTCTGCATCCATTATATGTAAAGATTTTTCTGGGAAAGCTCACCCAATCTCAAGCCCACAAGTGACTCATCATCCTGTTCTTGGGATATGAGCTAGCAGTCTACCACCTGACTGGAAAATTGGGGGATCTGCCAGCTCCTACAAACACTGGCTAGTTTTGGTTCATCAATCTAATCAACAATGTGAGTCAGGAAAAGCCTCCAGACCAATACCTGATTTGGGATTTGTCAGCCTCCACAACTACATGAGCCATTTCATTAAAACAAATCTTTCTTTATCTATCTATATACTTATATATCTACAAATATCTCACTCACTCACTGCCACAGAGTCGATGCTGGCTCACAGTGACCACCTGTGGTGTTCCAAGACTACAACTGTTTACGGGAGTAGAGAGCCAGTCTTTCTCCCACAGTGCTGCTGTTGATTTTGAACTTCTGAGCATGAGGATTGCAGTCCAATGCATAACCTTATTAGGTTAATTTTCTAAAGGAGCAAAACCAGTGACACACACACATATTTCAAAGTGAGGTGTGCGTGTGTGTGTGTGTGTGTGTGTGTGTGTGTGTTTACTCCTCTAGAAAACCAACTCAATACATTTGGTATAGACATCGGCTCTGAAAGAACAAAACCATAAAGATGGGTTTTCTGAAGTGGTTCTCAAGTCTTGGCTAGTCTTAAAAGCAACTGTCTCCAGTAATGAAGAGGGCACTGCTAATCCATGGCATGAAGTGCTAATAGAAATATGCAAATGTCAACACCAATGGATCAAATATTTGTGGAGGATGAGGTTCTGAGTAATTGCTTATTTGATACTTTCCCACAATATTTTCAAAGGGAGAAACTAGATGGTTGGCGTTACATTTACTTGACAATGTGGTATAAATGATGGTATAAAAAAAGTCTCAAAGCTTCAGACTCATAGTTCAAGTTCTATATACAAGACCTGAAAATTTCCACTTTGTGAACTGAAAGGAAACCTTATTTCTTGTAGTAACAGAGCAGATACAAAGACTGACAAAAACCAAGCCAAGAGTTTTATTACAGAGTGGCTGAATTGCAATACCAATTGAATTCCCAACCTCAGATGGTATCTGAAGTTAAAGTATATGCAGTGATCGAAAGAAATGGGATTCTCAAATGTGGAACGGAAACATAAGGGTAGATAATCCAGAAACTGAGGATACCAAAGGCCTAAATCCTATGAGTGATTTCTGCCAACAGAACCAGTCTTCTTACTCTCATATGAGTCTTTGTTTGAGATATAGCCTGGATGGCACTCAGGGTATCACCTGGGCAATTGCCTAAGACAAATATTTTATAAGACATTGGTGAATGTCCCTAAGACTACCCTTACCACCCATGTTTGCCCCAGCAAACTCCAAGACGTAAATATAAAATGTGACCCAAGAGAGCATATGCTACAATCCAAAAGAACTGCTTGATTTTAATATGTACAAACAGAAATCTGGGAGATGTCTATAAGAGTGGCTACAAGGGTGTGGGATAATAGTGCAGTGAACATGAATCTGGATCTAGCTGAGTTTACTGATACAGGCCTACCAAGCACAGGTGCTTCATTCAATGCTTTGGTTCCAGGGTTTAGGTTAGGAAATAATCTAATGCTGTATTTAGTTCAGTCACTGAAGGATTAAGTAAGCAATGTTGTTGTAAGGGGCTGTTAAGTCGGTTCTGACTCATAGCGACCTATGCACAAGAGAATGAAACACTGCGTGATCTGTGCCATCCTCACCATTATTGTTATGTCTGAGGCCATTGTTGCAGCCACTGCTGTCATCTCAAGGCTCTTCCTCTTATTTGCTGCCCCGTAACTTTACGAAGCATGATGGAGTAAGCAGTACTCTATATTAAATCAGCTTGAAATGCCAGACCTGCCTACGTTTGTTAAACAAAAAGACATCCAAAGGCTTAGAGAAATTGTCATGTCAGATTGGATTGATCAGATCAGATCAACAGATCTAGCCAAGGACTACCTTGAGGTTACATCTTTCACCAAAATGTTAAAAAACAAATTTGTGGATCCATGTCCATGGAATTCACTGTTCTTACCATGTTTAGTATCTTCCTGAAGCAGCTAGCCTGATAGAACAATGGGATGTCTTCTAAAGACACAATTAGGGCACCAATAAAGTGGCAAAACCTTGCAAGGTTGTGTATTGTTTCCCAGGAGGCTGTTATATACAAGGGGGTACCCCCAAAAAACTGGAATTGCGCTGGGCAGAGCTGAGCTTTTGTAGTACACATTTTTCCCACTAGGTGAGGATCGAGCTACTCTCTCTGAGTTAGTGCACCCAGTGGCTTTGCCTGGGAAGGTTCTCTCTGGTCACAGTGAATTTTTTCATAAATGTAGTTTCACTCGAAACCTCTTCTTTTTGTGATGGCCAATATAAGAGAACAGTGAGTGTGTGGCCGTGAAATGTTGTTTCCTGATCATGGAAAATGCCACAGAAACTGTTGTGATGTTGAACACAGCTTACAAGGACAGCACCATGGGACAAACTCAAGTGTATGAGTAGTTTCCTCATTTCAAAAAAGGTGAAATGTCGACTGATGACAAGTCTCATTCTAGACATCCATCAACTTCCAGAATGGACGAAAATGTTGACTAGTAGTGCATTTGAAGTTTGTTCCACCAGGTGAGACTGTTAATCAAGCTTTCTATTTAGAGGTTCTGAAAAGATTGTGTAACAGTGTGGGACAAAAAAGGGCCTGATTTGTGGCAGAGGGGTGACTGGTTTTGCCCACAAGGCAATGCACCTGCCTGCAAAGCTATCTCAGTGCGCCAGTTTTTGGCAAAAAACAACATGCCTCTCTTGCCCCATGCACCTGACCTTGCTCCATACGACTTCTTTTTGTTTCAGTGAATGCAGAGGGACATGAGGACAGCAATTTGAGTTAAAGAAAAAAACAAGGAAGGTGCTGTCAGCTATCAGATGAGTTTGAAAAACATTTCCAAGAATGGAACTGCAGATCTGACAAGTGTATTAGGTATAATGGGGAGCACTTTGAAGATGACAACATTGTTTTGTAAAAAAAAATTAAATACATAGCTTTGGGGGGGGAAATCCTGGGTTTGGGGGGGTATCCCCCTCATATGTTGCCATCATCCTTTTCAAATTTTCTTTCTACTTGAGCCCCTGGTATCAGCTCCTTCTTTTTTCCCTTCCCTCCCCATTCTCCCACCCTCATGAACCCTTGATAAATTATATATTGTTATTATTATCATTATTATTTCCATATCTTACAACAAACACTGTCTCCCTTCACCCCCGTTTCTGTTATTCGTCCCCCTGGGACGGGAAGGTTATCCATCATTGTTTTCAGTTCTCCCTATCTCCCCCTTCTCCCCACACCTTACCCCTACCCTCATGGAATCGATATTCCCATTATTGTTCCTAAAGGGTTTATCGGTCCTATATTCCCCGTGTCAAGAGCTTTTATCTGTACCAATGTACATATTCCGGGATAGCCAGATTTGTAAGGTCCTTGGGTCATGACAGTAGGGGGAGGAAGCATTAAAAAGAATGCAATGTTGTGATAAGAGATGTAACATCCCCCAATAAAAGTAATAAAAAAAAAAAAAAAGAGCACGGGCTTGCATTGGGCTGGGCTGGCTTCTTCTTAAATAAGATAATCAATTATATAGAGCTCTTTCTTATACATTTTTTTTAAAAAAGAATGTTATGTGTTTCGTCGTTATACT